TTGCCAAAGGTGTTTTACCTATTCTTCGGCTGATTGCAAAGTGTAGACTGGAACTGTTTTCAACTTTTTGGCTTATAAGCTTTTGTGTGCATTGTTGTTGTGTATTTTATTTTAGGCCTACCAGGCAGTTACATTAAGCATTAAAAAGGATTCTTCAAACCCTTAGCATTCTTATACGCTGACTTTTTAAGTTGGCTTTATTTTGCTGTGCAGTTGTAAAGGCGAAATATTGAAGTAAATATGTGCATTAGGCATGTTTCGAATGTGCTATTTTTCAAATTCGTGAATTCGAATGCGAATTTTTGGTATGCGAATATTCGAATATGTATGTATGTGCCTTACGCTGCGATTGTGTGCTTAGTGGTCGCTAACTTCGCGCTTTGCACATTCGCATTCGCAAAATATTCGTATCATTTGATACGAATGCGAATGTCGATGCGAATATGTAAAATGATGCGAATCATTCGCGTAACGAATGCAAATGCAAATATTTGCAACAACCCTGATGCATATATGTGAATGTATGCGTCCGCATTGGTTCACAACGCGCCACTGCAACTTTCTTAAGAAGTTCAAAGGGTGCTGCGTACATTTGTTTCTGTACTTAAAGCAGACAAATGGGGCGGTCAAAGAACATGTCTCGTGGTAAATAATACTTAACAACGCTACAGGAGAGTGAGTGAGATAAAGAGAGTTAGACTGTTTTTGTTTCTTAGAAATGCTGCTGGCAGTGATGCCAACCGAGGGAGAATTCCCCGATTTTGGTGGAATTTGAATTTCTCGGGTGAATGGCTTTAAATTTTGTGGGAATGCAATATATAAATAATTTTTATTGGACATACCTAATGAGAATAAAATTACAATTTGTAATAACAATCTCTCATTAAGGTGTTTCGGATTTAAAACATAACGTAATTGCGTCATGCAACCGTACATAGCAACACTTTTCACTTGACCTTTTTATTTGATACTATCATTTCTCACTTCATTTTCAGAGCCAAGCTAAAGTCTGGCAAAGTTTTGAGCAGTCTAATAAAAGTAAGTATTTACCAATACATCAGTTCCGGATATATTACTCAAAAATGGCATAACAGTAGTATTATGGTTAGAGAATAATCATGAAGCAAAAAATATTTCCATTAATTTGAGAAAATTCCAACGAATTGATTTATGCAAAAATAAACCGACAGATTTTTTGAGTTGTGCCTCTTTTGAATACAGTATGCGATTTAAAGCATTTTTCCGAAAATCTGATCATACCTATGTATGATAGATATGCTTTACGAAATCTACTCAGAAGTATTAGTTACATATATATTGTAAAAAAATACTATCCTAATTAGGTTTTTTTAAGTAAAATAAGTATGAATTGCTTTAAAGAGTAAAAGTTATTTTGTGGGAATACCAATTCAAATAGGGCAATTTTTTCAGGAATTTTGGGGAATTAACCTTAACAGAGTTGGCATCCCTGGTTGCTGTACTTTATTTTCTATGCATTGCACATATGTATATACATACATGTATGCATGTGTTGTTTGCTTATTTTGACATTGTGTTGGTGCGAATGGCTTTGACAAATGTTTTTGAAATGTTTATTTCTGTGTTTCTACATTTTAAATATGATTTTGCAGTCGTTTTGGTTGTCAGTATTTTTGGCAAATCCTGCGCTAAACTTTGTATAAATGAAGTTCGGGAAGTAAGAAGTGCCAGCACAAAATTTTTAAAGACGATAAATTTTATTCAGAAGAAAAAAAAAACATATAGAAATCTATTTACGTGGTCCAAAGTAATGCGGTAACATACACAAAAAAAATAAAAAAAACATTTCGACGAATTGATAACCTCCTCCATTTTTTGAAGTTGGTTATAAACCACGAAATAAAAAATGTTACATTGTAATGTTATTTTTCCTGAATTCGAGAAAGAATCTGCGAAGTGCACAAAAAAAGTGTATTGAAAGTGTTTTTTGTAGGAGGATATTTAAATAGAAACTTGTAAAGAAAGCAAACTTACGATAACGTCTGCATGACTGCTGCACGACTTTACAACTCACTTAAAGTTAGTTTTGTCATGGCTAATTTAAAGTTAGGTATTTATCGAAATCCCGCAAATAAACTAACTATGAGTTGGTTATTTTAATTAATTGATTTTTCTGCTGGGCCGCTATGGATGCCGGGTATGCGTATAAACGCTTACACATATGTACATACTCAGACGTGAACATGCAAATACGTGCGGGCCAAATGTTTGTATGAAAAAATTATATTTAAATACGAACATTTTTCAATCTCAATCAAATATAAAGTATTAATTTTTACTATACATTATTTCCCTCAGTGTACCCTAGGCGCCAAATTAAAGTGTATACTTTGTTCTACTTAATTTAGTATTCACAGTTATTTTGATGAAATTTTTTTTTCATTAATTGTTTATGAAAATATGGTTAATTCTAAAATGAAAATCATATAAATCAAAGTTTCATACTTTATAGGTACATATGTAGAGTTCACAAAAACTCAAAAAATGTTCGTAAAAATTTCTAACTTTTTTTCAGAATTTCTAGAAAATTTTCGAGCATGTAATTTTGTAGCCCTTTCAGTTTTAGTCTAACGAAATGCAAGTTTCTTTTTTTTTTGTCTTTTTTTTTATATAACAAGTGCAATTTACAAAACCTGTCACTGGCTATTTGATTTATGCGATTCAAAGCATAAATAAAGTTGCTAAGGGTCTCTCCCATTTTATTTCAAAATAAATTCATGCGTATATGGAAAAATTGCAAGAATCTGTCACAAAAAAAAAAAATTTTTAGCCGTTTAAAACGTTACAAAACTGCATACGCGATAATTTTCTAGAAATTCTGAGTAAAAGTTGAAAACTTTGATGAAAATTTTTGGAGTTTTTGTGAACTTTAGATTAAGTGTGAAACTTTCATTAATATGGTTTATATTAAAGAACGAACTATATTTTCATAAATAATTAATGCAAACAATTTTTCATGAAAATAATTGTGAATATTATATTATTTGTCGCCCAGTGTACGTATGTTAGTACATACATTTGTTTGCATCCGCAGGTAAAGGTACATAGTGATACATTAGTGTGCATAAGTAACTTTTCTCATTCATTTCGTTTGACATTAAAAGTTTATTTACGCTAAAACTGGCTACTGTCAGCCCTGAACTGTGCACTTGCTCGTTGTACCCCTACAGCTGTTATCGACAACATATCAGGTAAAAGAGTTTTGTATAAAGTTATAGTCTTATCTGTTTGATATTTCAAGTTTTTAAAAGTAGTTTACCAATCGAACAGACTATTAAACTTTAATTAAATAGCTTGTTAACAAAGTGAGATTTATACACCGATTAGTGTAGGCAACTGGTGTAAATTTTCGAGCCTCCGGTGTTAATTCAGCTTAAAGTAGTTTCTTTTATTATATATGTAGTCTAAGCCCTGTTTAGTGATCTCGTTTGTAATGCAAAGGGGGTGTAGCAGATATTCTATGTATGCAGTTACAGTTGCATGGCTACACTGAATCCCGACTCTTGCGTTCACGTTCGTGCACTCTGGGCAACATGGGCAACCCATATGCGAGATGGGGTATCCAATCCGAGTGAAGCCTTAACTCACGACAGAAAGAAAGAAAGCTTCGGTGGAGCCGCTCCGACCTATTCCTTTTAAGGGCTCACTGAAGTGTACAACGTCTGTTCACCAGTAGGTGCAACTGCAAGCGGGCGTCTATCTTGGAGCAAGCGGCTTGCGATATAAATGTGTATTCGGTTAAGAAATTTCTAAAGCCTCGTAGTAGGTGCAACTTCAAGCGGCTCGCTATATAAATGTGTATTCGATTAAGAAATTTCCTTTTCCAGTGAAAAATAAAACTAAAGCCTCGGATGAGGCCCCCGTTGTGATGACGATCATGGCAAACTGGTAAAGGACTATGATTTGAGAGCATGCACCTCAAATGCCTGAATTATTAATGGCGAGAGTGCCCCTGCCTGGCTAGGGTCGTTAATATGCGCCTACGCCACGATGGAAGAGAAGCACGAAGTATTCAAGGATCTTTTTTAACAGCGCTCTGAGAATACATACTTAAGAGCGCTGTCACCATCACGACATAAAAATCCTGCATCCATTAAAAGAGCCATCAAGATACATGGCTGTCTCCAGATTGAAACACGAGTAACCAAATCGATCAGGTTGTGAAAGACAGAAGGTACGCTTCCAGTGTTTCAGAAGTACGTACACTCAGAGGGCCACAAAAACAACTCGGACCACTTTCCTGTTGCAGCCAAAGCTGTATCACTCTTAAAACAAGTGCTATTTTGGAGTGAGTCAGCAATTCAGGATTTAAGTCTTTTCAGATCCAATGAGGTGGGTCGCGGAGGGTTGGAGAGAAAGATTTTCCTGAAGAGTTATGGGCATTTATGCATTGGCGATGCTGACGCTAACAACGGCATGGATATAGCAAAGGAAATTAAAATACCCCAACTCCGGTGGCTTGGTCGCGACGATCGAATGGACACCTACGCTCTAGCTCTGAAAGTGTTAATCTTGGAAGCCGATGGTTGTAGCTGAAGAAGAGGGAGGCTCGATGGGAAGGCCGACGATAACATCAGAATACTTAGATAGGAAAATGCACAACTTACAAATGAGCATCTCTTTTCATGGCATGCAGGCGGTTAGCTACAATTTCATGAGTGATTAAAGCTTTTCGCGCGTTGATGGTAAAGCCCCACAAAAGGTTCTGGAAGAGTTTAGCTAACCAGCAACAAGAGTAAAACGCTGTTAGGTAACATTGTAAGGAAGTTATCTTCTCCAAGTAGTACGACCATTAGTTGCTTTTAATAAAGCCAACAGATGCATGCAAGATATTTCTAGACTGCATTAGAATCACTCATTAAATTTTTTTTCATTTCATAGCCGCGAATATAAGTCAGTTTAGATTTTGCCAATATAGTTTACAGTGTAGTTAATTCTAAAATTTAAAATTTTTAACTCACCTCCTTCATCGGTCATAACCAGTATGGTGGTCTCGGGACCCAAGCCTTCTGGATTGAAAACTTGCACGGTAACTTTGTACTGTGTATAGGTCTCCAAATTTGTAATTTCATGACTCTGCAAAAGAAAAGATAAAATTAAACACTCAAAAGATATTCTAGTTAGATTAACCAAAAATAAATAGTTATCATAGAAAAAGAAAAAAAAAAATTAAACTATTTATTTTTCCTTCCACTCATTTGCAACCAAATTATAACTAATTGCAAATTTAAGTGTAGATGTCTGAATTACGTAAAGCATTAGCTACGATTATACAAAGTCTTTTACAAATGCTCGCACCCCAGTTAGCAAATTCTGGTGCTTAACTACTTTTATGCTGAATTAAGGATTTGCATGTGAGCTTTAATTTGGGTGGCAACGCAACAGCAAGCACTTCCACTTATAGCGAGTAAACTATAAGAGCATATGCGTGTATGCCGGCAAGGACGATCAAACATACATACGTACATTTGTACATAAACAGCAAATGATATAACTAGAGCAAATGAGAAAACCCGAATTTTAACTGGCCAACCATAAAGTACCTAAGCTCATTTGGTTAAGCAGCTCATTCAGAAGCAAAGCAGACCGATAGCAAAATGTGCACACCTACATTGACACGCTCCTACAACATCTACATGCGTACATATAAACAGTGCCATTTGTGTCACTGCTGACTTATATACGCTAGGCGTCAAATGAAAGTGTACACCTAGTATAATATTCACATTTATTTTAATGAAGAATTTTTTGCATTAAGTATTTATGAAAATAATGTTCATTCTATAATATAAACAATATAAATAAAATTTTCACACTTTATATTTAGTGAGATATCAAAAATTCAAAAAATGTTCATCAAAATTTTCAACTTTTTATTCATAATTTCTAGAAAATTTTCAAGTATACAGTTTTGTAGCCCATTAAATTTTAGTCTAACAAAGTGTAAATTTTACACAGCTAAAAGATCTCGTTGATTTTTGAGATTTTTTTTTTGAAACTGCTTTTGCGGTTTTTTATATAACAAGTGCAATTTTGTTGCCAACGGTCTCGCGCATTTCATTTCATAAGAAATTTAGGCTTATATGGAAAAAAGTGCGAAAATCCGTGGCTAAAAAAAGGTCAAACATTTAATGTGCTGCAAAAATGCATACTCGAAAATTTTATAGAAATTCTGAATGATATTCAATAATTTTATTGAGCTTGATGCCGTTTTTATTAAAAAATTTTGTGGAAAAAAACCATAATTTACATTTTGCTATTTTTGTAGGTATAACTTCTATAGCTACTAATCATCACATTTTCTCATCAGACTTTTTCACAGGGATTTGACCCAATGACCCCAACGTCCAAAGCCAGTAGTGTACCTACCCACTGAGCTAAGTTCGAATTGTAAATATTACACCATGTGACAGTAAATTTTACACACAATTTTTGTTTTTTTAAATTTGCGAAACTATGAGCCAAATATAGCAGTTTTAGTATTTCTGTCTTACGTAAGGATTTTTTTAAGCACTTTGAAATTTTAAAAATATGTATAATTACTTAAAAAAATTATTAAAAAAAACTCAGTGCCATGTATAAAAACAGTATGGCTATCAAATTAAAGAGAAAATTCTGTAGAATATTGAAAATGTCCTATCCACATGGTGCCCATATTGTTTTTCTACATGGGAATAAAGTTTTTAAATAATTTTTGGAATCAATCATATCTTTGAAACTACAAAGTCTTTTTCAAAAAAAAAATCTGACGTCAGAGAGAACAACTAAAAATGCAGTTTTACTATATTGCTTCATATGTTTCGAAATTTTTTTGTTTTTGTCGCACGGTGTTATATATTAAAACAAGTTGTACACTTTCATATATCGCCTAGTGTAGATATGTATGTATGTACACCATTTCACACTGGTGTTCGCCAGAGAATAATATACACTAAAATTTAGTTTGGCTGCAGTTGATATGTTGGCCTAAACACTAAGGTACATATTTTTCGCACACTCACACTCACACACATGTGCAAAATAATTCAACTATTGCAGTTTATGGTCCAACGCTGGTAAATTAAATTTGTTTTTGGGTATCCGAAAATAAACGTGTATGTAGTACAACGCGAGAGAAAAATAAAGCAAAATAAACAGTCCAGCCAACCGCAGATACACGCAATGACACGCACACAAAAAATAGACGGCTAAATTGTTCTGATGTGTGGGAAGTGGTGTTCACAAGTCTAAATGGAATTATCAAGGCTGGTAGGAGAGCAAATAAATCAGAGGCGTTTTATTTAAACTTTTACTTTTAGTGGAACCAAAGAACTTTAAATAGCGACAAATAATTTCTCTAACAGAACCAATGCCAGCGTTTGTTGAGCAGATAATTGTTGTTTTTCATTATTTAGGGACGGAAATGTACTTTTTGACTTCGACGTTCAGGAAAAGACTAAACAAGTTTCGAGAAAATGCCGACAAGTTGCAAATAATCCCGAAGAAATGCCTAACTAATATGATTAAATCCCGGAAAAAAGGAAAGAAAAAACACCCACGAACAGTCACAAAAGGTCCCGGCAAAGCCCAGAGAAAATCGTAAAAGGTCTCGAAAAACTAAGCAGGGCATTTACTTTTACTATTTAGTATCGCCCAGTTGTCGAAAATCGACATCTTTTTTACTACCACTATTTAAGAAATTCATCTAAATCCTCATGCCTTAAAATAATTTCTTCAACTACGCAAAAACTTTGAAAGACTAAGAATTCGCTAAAAAGAGAATCTAACTCTATGTCATGTATGAAAATCTCTTTTACAATATCAGTAAATTGTTAAAAATTGTAGGAAATTCATACCCGAATTTTTTATTATTAAACTGAAAGTCATTTTCGAGATAACTAACAACACTCGCAAAAAAAAACGTCGGCCTTATTTTTAAATAATTTAAACTCCATCATATTATCGCAACTGGTATGCAACGACCCGGCGATATGCCCATAAAAGGATTGATCTTTCTGTTATATTAATTTCCTGGCCATATCAAACACTAAGTAAAATATGTTAACTCCAATCAAATTCTTTTCATTTTACTTTTTACAGTAGAGTTTAAGGAAGCTCTAACGTTATGTAAAAACCTTAAGAAAATCCTAAAGTATTTTATTTGAAGTGGAAATTCAGTAAAAATCAGTACAAATTTTGGAAAATTAGGACATTAGCGTACTGATTAAAAAAATTAATAAAATAAGTACAAGAGTTGAAAAATCAGTACGTCTGGCAACCGTGCCTACTACCAACTTTAGTAATCCTTTATATTTTATTTTGAGTTATGTCGCTATTGCAGAGCACCATCGATATGTGCACATGCAACACTTTGTAAAATCCAAAAGAAGGGGGATCCAGCCGCTTGCGCCAACTATCGCCTAATAAGCCTCCTAGTATTTCGTACAACGTCCTGCCGATAATACCGTGTAAAGCCGTTCACGAACCAACTGATTTGACCTTTGGCAAGTCCACCATTTTCACAGCGCATCAAATTCTGGAGCAAACCCTAGATAAGCAAAATTTTTTTGTCGATTTTTGCCGCTTTTGATAGCACGAAGAGAAGCTGCCTGTACGACGCTATGTCTAAATTTGGGATACCCGCAAAACTAATACGGCTATGTAGGACAATGTTGAGCACAATCTTCAGCCCTGTTCATATTGGGAACGACCTCTCCGCGCCGTTTGATACCAAACGAGGTTTCAAACAAGGCGCGACTAAAGGTGCTGGCCCAATGTAGGCTTGCTTTGCTTGCTTCGCTGCGAGAAGTGTCAAAAATTATTTGGAATATACTAAAACGTATAAAGGCTGGCCAAATGGCAGCTTTTCTTCACTTGCTTTAAGCGCCTCAAAGTTTGAATTAGGCAAATGTTTTATTTGAAAGCGTTTTGTAGGCTTTTGACAAAGAGGTATGTTTCTTTCAAAATACATAAATTCAAACAAAAATTTGCTTACTTAATTTAAAAAAGTCACAGAAAATGCAGGTAATTCGAAATGAAATAAAAATGATTCATTGTTTCCATATTTATATTTAACACATCGTTATCTTATGATAAAAAGTTACAAAGCCCACTTTTACAAATTTTCCACGAGAGGAAAAAACTTCTTCTTCAAGTAAATCGCTTTTTTAAGTTATAGTTTTTTTAGTAAATGTAGATATAGATATGTATGTATCTTTATTATCATTTCTTTTGAATACAAACATTTCGCATTAATTTAAAAATAAATCTGAAAGTTTTTCATATACTTTTTAGAGTTTTCTATTAAATAATTATAATATAATAATTATAATTATTATCGTTAAGGGAACAGACATTGACTTTTCAACCAGACAGCTGGCTACTTTGACAGCGTTCCAAGCCAGCATTCGGCCAAGCAAATTTTCAAAGTATATCAAAGCAAATTGAAGACAGCAAGGCGCGCTAAGCAAGCCTGCATTGGGCCAGCGCCTTAACTCTCGTAGCTTATAAAAGGAGGAAATCTTGACAACAGGTGCTAATTTGGGCTCGGTACGCAATTAAAAAGCAGGGCACTCAAACGATGAACAAAAATCAAGCTCTAAAAGTCTCTCGTCATGCCCGTTATTCTATATGGCGCAGCAGCGTGGACGAGGATGAATAAAGATGAGAAGACTTTGGGTGCTTTTCGCTCATGAGAGAGGCACTTGAAGAAGCTTTGGGGACAAATAGTTTTAGCGCCAAATAAGAAAAAAAGAAGATATAATGCAATGTGAAATTTGGTTTGATATCTACTAATAAATAGTCTGTAAGAATAAAATTTTCTGTGGAAAAATAAATAAATTAGTTGCCAAGGCAGCATATTATTATTTTATTAGTTATTAGTAGCTAGTTTTTGAATGTCAGATTTCAGGTAGGTACAAGGTGTCAATTGCCAATTCTCCCTTCAGACCCTAAAAAAAAGCATTCTGTCATTTCGTTCTACAGCAATGCTATTTTTATATTTTTTTAAATCGAAGTTTTATTGATACATACCAGCAAATCGTCGTTTAAGGTACAAAACCGCATAACTGACATTTGCTGCCAAAAATTGGATTTGC